GTTCTGCCTCTGTGGGGAAACATTTGCCTTCGGCTTCGAAAGAGCATGTACAACAGTTTTATAAACGCCACCCAGGGAGCCCTGCTGTAGTCCTGCCTCATGACTTGATGACCTAAGAGTACTACGACTACCTAACTGATTACTTGCAATTCCTTCTTTTTGTAATATGGTGGTGGGAATCTCTGTGGATTCCTTCACTGTTTTACTACTTACTGATGCAGTATTAAGTGTATCTAGAGGTCTGTACACACCAGGTTTTACTAGCTCTGCAGCACTATTTGAGCTGGTATGGGTGTTGCTGGTGCTGCTATTGCTGCTACTACTACTAAAGCCACCGAGCTTCCGCAGTCTCATCTTCCATGGAGCCTCTTTGTTTTCCAGAGGATTATAAAACTGAACGGACTCAGTGGATGGTCTAAAAGTAACATGAACACTATTTCGTTTTTTGGTAGCAATTTTCATGATTTTAGCTCTATGAGTTACTGTTTCAGACAAACTCCTTTTAGTTGGAGAAAGTTTGCCAGTATTTGTAACATGAGGCATTCTGCGGTTAACAGGTGCTTTTAGTGTTGCTTTCTTGGCACGCATAACATGTGGGACAGTGATTTTTTCATTAATTTGCACACTCTTAAGCTTTTCAACTAGTGTTACATCAACACAAGCATCTAATTCTGTGGCTGTTTGTCTACACAGATGTTTCCTTTTTTCTTTATCACAAGGGCTATCTGAACTAGGCTCTGACGGCTGTTTATCACTGTTTAGTTGCTTGGATTTTTCAGAAGTTTGTGTTCTAATAAAACTGTCTGACTGGACAGGTGCAATATTACTCATGAAGACAGCTGAGTCTGGTTCTTTCTGAAACTGTAGGTTTTCAGGAGTCCCAACAAAACAGGTGATATTTTCAGATTTAATTCCCTGATCTGTGCATTCTACTTTATCTAAAGATAACCTTTCACCCCTATTTACTGCAATAGTCACTTCCTGAGAGGCTAGGTCTTTACCTATCTCATTTTTACTATGATTTTCCTGGTTTTCCTTAAAATATTCTTTCAAGGTGGAAAGAAGATCATCATCTCCTTCAAGGTCAATGTACTGGATTTGTTCAAAAGCTGAATCTGCAAGTCCTACTGGACCTATTAAATGACAAAGATGGTCATATATGCTATCACCAACTTCCAGAGAAGATTCTCTACTATGAGTATCAGTGATGTGGCTTTCAGTGGATCTAGTTATTGAAGAAGCCTCTGTGGAACTCTGCAAGCTTGGTGCATGACGGGATGAACTGTCAATGACAGGAACTGCACCTTTGGCTCGTTCAACAGTGAATGGTTCCAAGATGTCAGAAGTGCTGCTACTTCGAGGCAATGGCTGCTCCTCATTCAAAGCACCAAAAACTTCATTTCCGGTTTCTTCACTCTGTGAAAAATGTCTCACTCTAGTTGAGCGGGGAAGTATTTGAGCATCATCAATATCTGTAAAAGAAAAAAAGTTATGTAGAGTAGAACTACATAAATATAAAAAGTTATTAATATTAATTTTAACAAAACCCTATAGCATATGCTTTAAAATGAAAAAAATTGAGTTTTTTATAAGCTCAATGAAAAAAAAATCAAAATACAAATCTGTTTTTTTAAAAAATGATGGGAACAAGCCAATACAGCATGTAGTGTCAATGAATTAGAAAACTACCAAAACACATTTTAAAATGTTAACATGCATAGAAACAGACAGTGAGGTGATGAAACATTTGGAAGTGCAGATAAAGATAGAGCTGTGCCAATAAATCAAGCAACTCAAATGCTATTCAATTTTTCCTACTTATTTAAGTTCCAAGCAGAAAAAGTAGAACTCAACACAGAAAGCCCATCCAAGTATCCCACTGTACACTCCTACAGGGTCTAGTAAATTCTCCGGCTTCCTTCCCAAAAAGACAAGAGGCATCTTTTCTTCAAATTTTGCTTCTCTGTCTGATTAGATATGAGAAATGAAACTCTCCACTCTCTTCCTAAAGTTCTCTTTGTCAGGAAACTATCTGTTCTCCCAAGGTGTTTTACTTTATTATAGTATTAAAATCTTATTCACCGACATCAAATAAAGTCAGTATGTTGTGTTTTTTTTTTAAATCAATTGTATTCTTTTGTTTTTGGCAAAAACACTACTTATATCTGCTGGGAAGAAACTTTACCTGCCTGTTATTGGCCTTTTCCATTAAACAGCCATCAAGCTCTAAAAACTGTATCTCTGGCTTCTTACATATCTTTTCAAGAATTATAGATGGACATTCAGGGATTATCTAACTCTCTCGCAGTTAAGAAAATTGAAGCCCAGAGAGGTTAAGTTACTTTATCAAATTTACAATAAAAAAAGTTTGAGAAACAGGCTTAGTGTTACATATCACTGCATTATTTTCACTGCCTTCAGTGTTAAGTTTATGGTAAATCCTCAAAAATATTTATGAAATTGAAAATCACAGGATGAAACAACCATTTAACTGTTCAGATATATACAAATTCTCAACAGGAATTTTGGAAGCAAAATACAATGTCTATGAATCCATCATAATCTATAAGTTACTTAGAAGTAACAAAAAAAATTGTTTTCACAAGTCAGCAAAATATAATGAAGAAAGGACAGAGTCAAAAAGTAAGCTGTTGCTACTTATTAGGCTTCTTGCACAAAAGTTAAATGTAACAGAACTATAAGTGAATAATCAAAATAAGAAAATTTAGATCCAGAAGCAAAGCAGTGACTTGTCCAAGATTAGAAAACAATTTGCTGATTCTTACTCTAGACTTTGAGACCAGTTTCCTCATTTATAAAATGGAGATAGTCACTCAGAGTATTTTTGGGAACCATACTATGGCTGAAAAAAGGCTAGTCCTTCTGCAATTTCATTCATATCACCCTCTTCGTATGAGGTCCAAACGGACCTACTTTATATTAAATTGAGATCAACAGAGGTTTGTATTATGCCAAGATTCTAGTATACTCCTGATGATATACTAGTAGGCTCCCATCATAGGTCAAATATATAGTATCTCCTGAAGCTGAAACAATTAATTTTTCGTCATGAAAACTAGAAGAATGTGTAACTTCAAAAAAATGACATTGTGGCCGGGCGCGGTGGCTCAAGCCTGTAATCCCAGCACTTTGGGAGGCCGAGGTGTGTGAATCATGAGGTCAAGAGATCGAGACCATCCTGGTCAACACGGTGAAACCCCGTCTCTACTAAAAATACAAAAAATTAGCTGGGCATGGTGGCGCGTGCCTGTTAATCCCAGCTACTCAGGAGGCTGAGGCAGGAGAATTGCCTGAACCCAGGAGACGGAGGTTGCGGTGAGCCGAGATTGCGCCATTGCACTCCAGCCTGGGTAACAAGAGCGAAACTCCGTTTCAAAAAAAAAAAAAAAAAAAAAAATGACATTGTTTTTCTTCCTTGCATTCCACTTAGAAATTTTTCTAAATGAAAAGTGAAATATCTCCTTAAAAACTTCACACTGATGCACTTACACTCATTAAGTGTTTCTTAATACAGCATATAACTAACTCATATCTGAGCATCTTGAGAAACATAAATATTTGTTTTTTTTACATCTGCCATAAGAGATCATAAGAACTTCTGCCTCAATGACAGAGATTATTTTCAACATGCAGTCTAAATTTCTTTCCATACAATATTCTAAAGAACTCAGCCAAGGATAAAGACTGTATAACTGTTCTATAATAATTCTTACAAATTTTATAGCTGGGATTTTATTTTACCAAAGGTCAAAATCAAGATTTCAAAACATTAAAATCTAACGTTATGACACCAGCAAATACAAAAACGTCAGAAGTATAATAGTTTTAGTTTTTAATTTCTTTTATTGATATTTCACAATTTTTCCATTCTAAAGAAGCCAGGAAAGAAAATTATGATGTTCTGTGTTTAGGAACTCCTTCCCAAACTCAGCCCTCACACCCTGTATATTAGAAAACTTAGCCATTATTTCAGCCTATTTTTTTTCTAAAACTTTGCTACCATACATGACTATCTAAAACTTTTGTGCAAGCTTAAGAGGGAAAGAGCTTTTAAAAAAAAAAAAGGAACCAGATTTTTTTCTACCAATACTGTAGTATTGAAGAATTTAAATTTAAATGGTATTTTCATGGTCTTAAGCTTTAAATATAGTTCTTTCATGGTACATAACAATACTAATTACACAAAATCAAAGAAGAAAATAACACTGAAAGGAAACCAACTATCTGCTAAATTCAGATCAAGAGGGTTGTATTATGCCAATACAAACGGCACTTGAATTAAGCATATTTGACTCTAACATGCCTTATATTAGCTGAGCAAATATATTACAGCTGAACTTTATTTTTAAAAAGACTAAATAATAACTAAACCATATATAGTACTTTCCATATGTCAGGTGTTGTAAGCATCTAACATATCGTTCATTCAATCCTCACAACCCCATGAAGTAGGTGCTATGCCTATTTTATAGATGAAAAAACTGTTTAAGTGACTTACCCAAATATACACAGCTACAAAGTGAGGAGCTGTGGTGTAAAGTAAGGCAGAAATTAGTCTTTACTCTTAATCTCTTGAATAATATGTTATATATGTTTTGTACTCATAAAATAATTTATTGTTAAATAAAACGATAAAAATTAATTGTTACTGAGAAATCATAAAGCTAGCCATTAATAACATCTCAATATAAATAAAAAAGAATTTTAAAAAAACCACAGAGCAGCTTAGTGATTTATCTCTATAAAGATAAGAATGTTAGAAATCAAAACCTAACTAAAACAAATGTTAGTAAATTATACAGATGGAGACAATTAAAAAATTTTGTATTGAATTGCTAAAAATAATGGTGGCATCAGGTTTAAATAAAAATACCCCTCAAAACAATTTAATTATGCTGCTTATATTTTAACTTGAACAATGAAAGCTTTTAAATAAAATTTTATATTTTTTTCTTTTTCTTTTATTTTTCTTAAGGGAAACCACTCAGACTGTGTCCTCTTGCTCTCCGGGAGGAAGAGAAGAATGATCACCCAAGGCAAATGGCAGCTGCAGCAAAGCAACACCAAAGGCCCGTTTCACACTAAGCAGAAAACACCGCACCTTCTCTTCCCGGTTTCCAGTCCCACATGCTCAGAGAAACGTCTATAGTAATACACCTTAGAAATTATCCTTCAAAGTATAGTCTTTTAAATTAAATATTACTCTAAAGCATTAGAAACCATTTAATGAGTGAAACAATAAAAATGTTTTCAAGAGATTTACAAAAACTGCTTTTGAACACTGAGAAAATGCTTCCTGTATAACCTATAAAGTTACAGAAATGTCAAGTTTTATCTCTGGGTTTTCTTAATACTGTTTACCATTAAAGTGTGTCAATTATTTTTAGATTAAAAAACTGATTTTTTTCCTGGAAATATTTTGTTCAAAAGTCTCCTTTGTTGGTTTGAAAGTAAAGTTTTACATTGAAGTATACTATCAGCTTATAAAATGTTAAGAAAAAAGCACTCCTTTCCACTAGATTTAAGTTTCTTGAGGATTTTTGTTTTGTTCATCACAATTATTTCTATTGCTTGAAAGAGGACCTGTCACACAGTATGGGATTAATAAATAGTAGAAGAAAAGCATGCCTTAAAAAAAAAAAAAGTAGCTCCTAATTGGTAAAAAGCAAGTTAGTTACAAAAAAGCCCTCTTCAGTTAGAATACTAACATATCACTAGAAAATTTTAATCATTTCTGAAATGATTCATAAAATCAAGTGCCAAAATCCCCTTTACTAAAGTTAAGTTACTTTCTTGGTCAAGCACGAGTGTTAGCTACCAGTAACATTTTTTACGGTTCCTGAATTTGTAATGTAATTTAAACTACTTTACACAGAAACTGATGCCATTTTGAAACTCAGTTTTTTTCTGCTAATTACTTAAATTTTTGTCTACTTGGGCAACAATGACAATGTACTTCAAAGTAAGTAAGAACTATAGAGCATCTATGTTTCAAATACTAACAGAGGCTATTAAAATTCTAGGTCTTTTTAAGATTATATGTTCAATTTGTAGGTAATTCAAAGCCGTATTTACATTATTGTAATCATATGAAAAGACTTAAAAGCAACAAATCAAGCTCAATGTTTTTCATGTTAAACCACTAAAATTTAGCCCACTAGACTATTTTCTCTTTTATTCTAAAATTGTTTTCCTGACTTTTAAATTTTGAACATAAACTACCGATATAATTTTTATGTTAAGAAAAGCACGGGCCAGGCATGGTGCCTAATGCACTATTGGGAGGCCATGGCGGGTGGATCGTGAGGTCAAGAGATCAAGACCATACTGGCCAGCACAGTAAAACCTCATTTCTCCTAAAAATATAAAAATTAGTTAGGCGTAGTGGCACACGCCTGTAGTCCCAGCTGCTCGGGAGGCTGAGGCAGGAGAACTGCTTGAACCCAGGAGGCAGAGGTTGCAGTAAGCTGAGATAGTGCCACTCCAGTCTGGGCAACAAGAGCAAGACTCCATCTCAAAAAACAAACAAAAAAGAATCTAAAAGTTATTAACTTGGGGAGGCCGGGTGGGGAAGAGTAAAAAAAAAAAAAGTGTTTTGCTTATGAGTATGCTATATAATGCCATGTTTAAGTTAGCCTCACATTTTTCTTGAGATGTTCTTTTTAAAAAGTTAATGTAGGCCGGGGGCAGTGGCTCACACTTGTAATCCCAGCACTTTGGGAGGCTGAGATAGGCAGATCACCTGAGGTCAGAAGCTCAAGACCAGCCTGGCCAACATGGTGAAACCCCATCTCTACCAAAAATTTTAAAAAAAATTAGACGGGTGTGGTGATGGGCTTCCATTGTCTCAGCTACTTGGGAGGCTGAGGCACAAGAATTGCTTGAACCCAGGAGGCAGAGGCTGCAGTGAGCCTAGATTGCACCACTGTACTCCAGCCTGGGCGACAGAATAAAACTGTCTCAAAAAAATTAATGTAAATTATTCCAGGAAAAAAAAAAAGATTTAATTTGCCAAGAGGCTGAGGTGGGAAGATCTCTGGAGCCCAGGAGTTCCAGGCTGCAGTAAAATAGGATGGCACCACAGCAATCAAGCCTGGGCAATAGAGTGAGGCCCTATCTCTTAAAAAAAAAATCTGCCGGGCGTGGTGGCTCAAGCCTGTAATCCCAGCACTTTGGGAGGCCGAGGCGGGTGGATCACGAGGTCAAGAGATCGAGACCATCCTGGTCAACATGGTGAAACCCCGTCTCTACCAAAAATACAAAAAATTAGCTGGGCATTGTGGCGCGTGCCTGTAATCCCAGCTACTAAGGAGGCTGAGGCAGGAGAATTGCCTGAACCCAGGAGGCGGAGGTTGCGGTGAGCCGAGATCGCGCCATTGCACTCCAGCCTGGGTAACAAGAGCAAAACTCCGTCTCAAAAAAAAAAAAAAAAAATCTAATTGGAATTATGCTACAATCAGCAGATTACAAGTGGAAAATCTGTAAAATATTAATATCCTATTGTACACTGATAATAGGAAAAAATTCATGATTGTACAAAGAAAGGCCTACTTCTTCATGAGATGGAAAATTCTCCTTATCGGGCAGAATTTAGGAACAGGATAGGCCTATGAGACATACTATTTTCTTTTCCCTTGATACTCAGAAAACAGAAGTATAAAGAGCTCAATTCAAATAATAAAGCATTGTTAATAAAAAGAGATCAGTCCCCAAACAGTAACAGTCTATATACTACAGCCTAAGACTAGAGTCTAACAGCAACAAAAATGACAAATCAGTTTTGGGAAATAGTTGGAAGAAACTGGGTCTGTAAGCTTAATTTCAGGATGAGAAACTCACAGTACTTGATTAGAAAATAATAAATAAAAAACATTTGTGGAAGTATACACAAAGCTGCCTACCATGTTTATATATGTTTATATCCCTCCTTTCACTAAAGTGTTTTACTCTTGGCAGTAAAAGTAATTTGCTTAGGAATGATCATTCAGATTTCTGGCTTCTCTTACCCATTTCTTAAGAAAACAATGACTGTCAGACTGGGCTACCAAATATGTACAGTCTGGTACAGTAATTACCAAATAATTGTGAAGGCCAATGACAGGGAGGCCAAGGAGTGTGCTTGCCCAGATACTAGAATAAATTAGACATTTGTGCAAGCCAACATATTGTATCAAACTTGATACATATTTTCCAAACTGTTATAGATGAGTCTGTTGTTGAGAAATAGTGTCACTGACATAATGCCAATGACCTCAAACTGGTCCCCAGAGCTTAAGAAGAACTCTTCATGGGCTGGGTGTGGTGGCTCACTACTGTAATCCCAGCATTTGTGGAGGCCAAGGTGGGGAGGTTCACTTTAGCCAACGAGTTTGAGACCAGCCTGGGCAACTTTATGTTCAGAATTTCCCTGGGCAACAACCCTGACTCTACACAAAAATTTAAAAATTAGCCAGGTGTGGTGGTACATGCCTATGATCCCAGCTACATGGGAGGCTGAGGCAGAGAAGACAAGGCTGCGGTGAGTCATGTTTGTGCCACTGCACTCCAGCCTAGGCAACAGAGCAAATTTTTAAAAATGTATATAAAAGCTCTATCATATAGCATCATACTTACAACAATGTAGGTAGAATGGACAGAACAAGAACACTGGAGAAGAAAAAAGGGCTGAAAACAAATAGGGTACTTAGAAAACTGATGGTCCTTTCTCATAAATTTTAGTATATTTAAAAAAAATGATTTAAAAGGACTTTCCTTTTACATCCCAAATTATCCAAAAGTATCAGATAAATATTTTTCTGACAAATTCTACCATAAGCTAGAAGTAGACTGTCTATGAGTAGTTTCATTGAGGTTTTTTTGGTGAAGTAGTTGAAGAAACCTCAACTCCTGATTTCAAAGATACACTCAGGAAATATTTTGAGTTTAAGCTTGTTCACATGAGGGAGAGATACGAAAGCAAGAAAAACCATTTACTTTTTCCCCTTCATATAGTTCACTTTCTTATTAATTCCCTGGCCATTAAACTATTTTGCAGTAAAATTTACTCAAACCTTGGAAGAAACATCGGCAATTAAAGAATGATTGGTTGAAGATCCAAGATTCTGTTGATTTTGGGGTTTTAATTTAGCACTATTTTTACAAATTTCTATTCTTATAACTCCTACATTTTCTCTTACCTCTTTTTCTCTCCTTCGCTCTGCACCTAACACCTCAAGAAGCAAAATCCAAGCCTTTAATTTGCCTCCAAGAATAGCAGGGGCAAAAAAAAAAAAAAAAAAATTCAGTAATTTAGATTTCTACAATGTAAACTAGTATAAAATTAATCCTGTTCAATTTTCATATTTGTTCTCTCTGGAACCTTAATGCCACAGGATATCAGTATGTGCACTTGGAAAGGTGTTCTATGCTTAAATAAGTTTGAGACATACTCGATTATAAACAGTTTTGGTTTTTCTACAGGTTTTCTAAGGGCCTTTAATATATTGATTTGCACTATGAATCTTTAATCTTTTCCTCTATACACCTATTTGCATCTCCAGGAAAGTATTCTAAATCTACATATCAGCTGGGAAAATCCTGACTTCATTCACAAGTCAGTTCTCAGGAAAGGCGGGATTTTGCTGCTATTTTAAAGTGATAGGTTCCTTTCCTCTTTCAAATTCTAAGAGAAAAAAATGATTTTAAATTCAAAATAACTGTAATTATGCTTCTATATTTTAAATGTATACAAGCATAAAAAACTGGTAGCAAAAGCACTTGAAGACGCCAATAAGTGATCACTAGTTTTGGAGGATTATATAAAATTTTTCATGTGCTTTTCCATATAATCCATGTTTTCTAAAATGAACATTTTTATTTTGATAATCAGATATAAAGTTTGTTTTGTTTTAGTCACTGATGTCTAAACACCAGCTAAATCTTTAAATTTATCATAGAAGGTATATTGCCCCAGATGGGGAAAAGGAATACAACAAATAAAATTGCCATTTAAAAACTTCCTTTCAAACAGTGTTTATAAACGTTTAAATCATAAAATCATAAAAAAAGCAAACTTTCTGAATTTTGTATTTGTAGCAAAGCAAGAATTCTGAAATAAACACTTCTCATCCTGGCTATGGCACCACTCTAGAATATTTTGAAAGGAACGAACTTATCTTGGTTTTAGCTTTTCAGAAATGTTTTAGCAC